CCAAGTCCCATAAGAATTCTGCTGGTGCTAGATGCTAGGAAAACGAGATTAAAGTGTAGGACTATTTGGTGCTCCCGCTTTTTTTTGTTGAATTACACTGAATTGCACTATTTACTAACAGAATGCATTAACCCTGAAAGTCAAAGAGCCTTTCAGAACTAGTCCTGCAATGTATATTCAGGTGTCCGTGCTACTTACAGCCTAAATTTAGTGTGTAGATATATAATGCTACCCACAGCTGCATTGTGTTTTCCAGTCAGCAGATAAAATAGTGTGAGAGTGTGTTAAGGCCCTCACCTGTGATCGAGTTCTAGATGCACCTAGAAAATGTCTGGTAATCGGACAGTAATGTTTCTGAGCTGGCTTAGGTCAGTTTGTGCTCCAGGTCACTCTTGTCGGTCTTGATTGTAGCTCCACTGCAGTGGTTCTCTCTTCGCCCCCCAGGGCCTGTGTAGCATCTGGTTCTCACTGGTATTTTCCCTCTCCGGTCACATGATAAGGAGACCAAATGGTGAAGTGCACTGGGACCTGGGCTTCTGTCTGAGGCGTTGGCTTCATGTCCCTGGAGACACTCCGCTGAAGTCGGCAGGAGCAAGACACTTAACCCAGATTGTATTAGTGAAATGACCCAGTTCGATAAACACTGGAGAAGCAAGACTACTGAAAACCTAATAAAAATAATTATGCAATTCACGCTCTTTTTGGAGGGCCGGCTAACTACACGGAAACAGCTATGGTACCTTGCTACCCCTGAGCATTGGACTCTGTCTGGCTCTGTGCCTTCCATCAATCCCCAGGCATCCTTCTGACCACACAACCTACAGCTGTAACTCATAACTGTAACTCAGGCAGCTTCTGTATAACGCGCGCTAAGAATGATGGCTGTGTCAAGCATTTAGCACCTGGCATCGTATATGAGATCCGTACGTCATGATCCTGTCACCTTCATCATCGTCTCGAGGAGACAGAGCAAGGAAAAGAGGAGAGAGAGTGCTAAGAGCCTCCGTTTCTGTGGAAGGGGTTGACAGAAAGGTGCAGGTATGGACATATATACAGAAACAGTCAGCGTCCCCTGCAGGCATGGAGGTCCCATAACACCTGTGGAGGATGTCCCACTACTGTTAGTGGAGGTGTGATAGGAAAGCTCCACATGGCCGTTCCCACAGGCCAAACAAAAGGGGAGACTCGGTTCCTGCAGCTCACTGCGTCTCCTCATTAACACCAACCCCAAACAAAGAGGTCCTGCTAATTAAGCTTTGTGCGCTTGCTATGGAAGGAAGTTTCTTGATTTTTTTTCCGATGTAATGCCTCGGCACAGGCAAGTGTATGACATCTAGGGCTAGTTGTGTTAATAACGCATTAAAAAGAAAGTGCTTTGTCTCACCAGTGGGGCTCAGTGAGATCCTAAGTCTCTGCAGTCCGATTATGTCCCACGATGTAAGGAGTCAGCTCAGAGCTTCACCACCATGTCCCCCTTTAGCGATAAGCCCTGGCTCGCTGTTTACGGGCAACCAGCAGACAGAACCGCGCAGGGATGGGAGCGAGGCACGGGCATAAATAGGAGAGGGATTGGAGTACGCAATGGGTGACAGGTTTCAAGAAATGCTGGGACAGAAATAAAATGCAGCCAGTTTGGTGTCAGCACAAGGGAAAACAGAGCAAGAGCCAGCAGTGGCTGGGGGAGGTATCAGGCTCCAGGTTCACCTTCGGGAAGAACGGCAGCCTTATGGGTGAGGCGTCAGGCTCCAGGTTCACCTTCGGGAAGAACGGCAGCCTTATGGGTGAGGCGTCAGGCTCCAGGTTCACCTTCGGGAAGAACGGCAGCCTTATGGGTGAGGCGTCAGGCTCCAGGTTCACCTTCGGGAAGAACGGCAGCCTTATGGGT